GTAACGCAATGTCTCGAATGATGATTGTATTAACAGCCGAACAAGGTTTATTGAGAAGCTGAGCTTTCGCGTCTCGAAGCTGCGCTCTCGAACGCTGATTCCATTCCAACCCTGCTCAGTAGACCGGAAGATTATAAGCGCTATTCGAACAATGGTGCTGCTGCCGCTCCGAACGCCCATTCGCCAAACAGCTTTTTTCTAATTCCTTTTTTATCGTTTCATTTTTACCCGTATCCAAGTCATCCTATCCAAGCACGTTACTCCGATGAATTCTTACACGTTACAAACCACACGACAAACCTAATTCGCACAACTGTGTTATCGCAATAAAGCGGGTCGGTCTCTACCTCCTTTCCATTGGGTGTCTGTCTGTTTGTCTTCTTTCAACTACTGACGAAATCATTTTCTGTCAACACCAAAGAAAAAGAGGCAGACAGGTATTATCGTACATGAGGCATTCAACAACAGCTGATTTGCCGTCACCTGCCTGCCATCTGCCGGCTTTCCACGGTACTGTAGACTGCTTACGCCTGCCGCCCATCCAGCCCCCTCCTGCCCTCCTTCCTCCCTTCCTTCTTCCTCTCCTTTCTTACTTCCCTCTTCCCCTCTATTTCCTTCCTTCCTCCCACTCTTCATTTCATTCTCCCCCACACTCACTCACTCACGCACTCCCTTTCTTTCTTTCAAAGTCGTGAACGCAGCCCCAACGGCGGGACACGTCCTACCGTTACCGCGAAACGAAAATCACGAAGCGTATTGTTGTTTGTCGGTCTGTGTCGGTTGGTCGGTCCGGCGGGTCGGGTCGAGCTGGTGAGCGGACAACGTGTAGCCTAAATCACAAATCCAAGGCCAGTCAGAAATTCCAACAATAATAAAATGATCAGTTATCAAGCACAGAAACGGAATACCAGAAACCGGCAATTAAAAAATAGAGTATATAAATATATAATTTTCAAAATCAGAAACCAAGTCAAGACAAAATCCTGAAATCCAAAGAACATTCAAAAAGCCAAAATCTTAAACCGCAGACCCGAATTTAGATCCGCAAAGCGCGAAATCCCTAAATCCCAAATTCGCGCCAGTCCGCACTCTCTGCCTCTCGTTCCCGGTGATGTTAACGAGACCGATGAAGCGGTCCTACACATTAGCGGAGGAACGCCCGCGCAAAAGTTATTCTCACCAAGCGAAATAAGAAATGAAAAAATATCTTTCAATTTACTTGGGGTTAGACTGACCGCCGGGACAAAAATGGCGACTCTAGAACGCTTTGACGAAGCGCAGAATATAACGAGGTTCGAAGCGATCATTGTGAAGGACGCCTCAATAGAACAAAGAAAGCTCGACAAACGAACCTTTCCTCCGCGCTGCTGGTTCGCTATGGCAGGCCGTAGGATGGGGACGGGAGGGGGTGACTCAGGTACAGGGAAGGGGGGGGGGGAGGGGGGGCGATGATGCTCTTGTTGTTCGCTCTTCCACCTATTGCCCCCCCCCCCGCCCGCCCACCTCCCCCAATTGGTCTCTTTTGCTCCTCGGGCACAAAGCCAGGCCGCCTTTTGCTCCGCGGCCAGGCAGAGGGCAAAGGGCAAGGGAGGGAGGGGGAGGAGGGTATGCCTCGACTATGCAAGTGTGCCCGCGGAGAGAGGATGCCCGAAGCTCGCCCTTGTGTATCCTACATGGTCAACTTTCCTTCGCGAGGATTATCTGGGATATCCTACACCCCCTCCCCCCTAATCTCCCCCGCTCGCACACACACTCCCCCTTCCCCCGACGCAAACCAAGGCCACCCCCCCTCCTCCTCTAAATCCACGGTATCAGCGGCGTAAACACAACACAACAGGAAGTGCACACACGTACCCACGTGGTGTGGCGGTTAGGCTTGATATCCTCGTGGTATCACTGACCTGGTACCCATGAGGTCTCCTATAGCGTTCATGAGGTGTCTCTGAGGTAGCAATGACGTGGTATCCTCTACAGTCCCAAAAGTGATATCAAAGAACTGGTATCAATGAGCTTTCTTTGTTATATTCATGACCTGGTATCCCATGAGGGCTAACTGTGGTGCCGATGACATGGTACCAAGAAGTCTCCTCGTGTTTTTTGGGGGGAGGGGGAGGAAGAGCAAGAGAGAGATATGCCTTGAAAGGGTATTTCTTTGTGCTTAGGACATTCGCAATGGCCATTATCTTTACACACAGACACACATACAAATCTACAGTTCCTCCTCCCCAACTATCCCTTGCCCCTCTTAACGATTTCATTGTCTCTCAACGCAAGTATTAATATCACTATAAAAAGGCGATGATTGTTGTAAAAAAGTAATGGCACTTTCTGTCGCTGTTCGCATGGCTGCTACAATGATGATGATGTTACTGTAACAGTAATAGCAATAACAATAGTAAAAATAATCATCATCATCATAGTAGAAGTAGAAGCAGCAGCAGCAGTGGCAGCAGCAGTAGCAGTAGTATTTATAGTAGTATAGTAGTATACTAGTAGCAGT